TTTCCATCATTTGAAAAAAATTACAAAAAATCCCTACTTTACGTGATGTATCATCAGTTGATACATCACTTTACGCGATGTATCGGTTGGATACATCACTTTACACAATATATCGAGACATACGCGATGTATCGAGATGTTACTTTACGCAATGTATCAATCGAATACGTCACTTTACGAGATGTATCGGTCGTATACATCACTTTACGCGATGTATCATGACGTATGCAATGTATCAAAATATTGAGTGATGTATTTGAAATCGAGACGCGATGTATCAAGACGTTTTGGGATGTATCCAGAAATTCCACCAAATTTAAGGGATTTTTGTAATTTGAAAAAGAGTAAGAATATGATATAATTAGTTTTTAATACTATAATATTTGTATATGATGTTCCATATTCATATTAATTTGAATTCATATCAAATAGGGCTTATTTAGAGTAACACGATATTTGAAATCGAGACATCTGATTAAAAAATATTAGGAGATTGGTGGGTCAAAGAGCACACATTGTCTAGAGGCAATTCCATGTGCCCACATGGCATTGCTCTTCTCATAATACTCTCTTCTCTTCCCCCTTCTTCCATACACATACATATTATACCACAAACTCTACTCTCCTCTCCTTGCACCATATACCCCAACAAGCCCTTCTTCTTCTTTTTCAATTCTTCTACTGTGAAACTGCTAAAAATCCAATCTTTACAACTTTGCAGAAGCAAGATTTTGAAAAAATATGGAGAAGGGCAGTGATGGGTTTGTGAGAGCAGATCAGATTGATTTGAAGAGCTTGGATGAACAACTGGAAAGGCATCTTATCAGAGCAAGAACTATGGACAAGGACAAGAATAAGAAGAAACCACAGGATGATTCTTCCATTAACTACAACATTTCTACTGCTACAGTGGCCAACCACCCCACCATCCCCAACCCCAACCTCTCCCTGTTTAGCTCATCTGTTCCTAGGCAAAGATATGAGTGGGAAATTGACCCTTCAAAGCTCATCATCAAAACTGTTCTTGCTCGTGGCACCTTTGGTACTGTCCACCGTGGCATTTATGATGGTCAAGATGTTGCCGGTCAGTTCTTCATTTTCCAAATAATCTTTTAAACTACACAATTTCTTGTATTTAGCTTTAAGATGACAGAATGGTAAAAAATGGTTCTTGCAAATACTAAAGACTTGATTTTTTTGCTTGTCTGGTGGAATTTTTGTGTTACGGTCCATATTAATCTTGTGGGGTTCAGTTTTAACCTTGTGGGGTTCCTCTGAGCTGCTGGAATAATGATACTTTTTTTTTCTTTTTTCTTTCTGGGGTTGTTCTTGTTGTTCATTTTTTTTTTTCCTTTTTCTTGATTGGTGTTTGGGGGTGGAGGGGTTTGGATTTTGCAGAATACTGGTTAGTCATTTTGATCTTTTTCTTATGCAATCCGTGAATAGAGGCACGGGTTTGGCTTGAATTTCTTGCAAGTTGCAGATGACGGCATTAACTTGGCTGTGTCTTGCATTTGTTGCTGTATATCTGAACTTTCATGTGAACCAATCTGTTACTTATTTAAGTATTAAAGTAATGCATGCCATCTATTATACAATTCTGGATCTCATTTTCCTGTTCCCTCTTTATTGCAGTGTTGGTTTTATTGTCATTGTCATTGCTACAGGGAATTAACATTGTCCAGACTTGGTCTTTTTTCTTTTGCCCTTTTTCCGGTTCAATTTGCAAAGTTTTGCACCAGTTAAAAGGGAAAAAGGGAGAAACTAACTTTTAGTTAACATGTGATTTATTTTGTGACACTTAGTTAAACTGCTGGACTGGGGGGAAGAGGGCCACAGAACAGAAGCTGAAATAGCATCACTAAGGGCAGCTTTTACTCAAGAAGTTTCAGTGTGGCATAAACTTGACCATCCTAATGTAACCAAGGTGACGTTAAGCTTCTTCAACTCATAATGTGTAGGAAGGGTTTAGAGCTTGTTGAATATTGCTGCTTGTTGTTTAAACTTCATAGAAATATGCCTGGAGTATATGTCTAATTTTGTGTACTGTCTCATTTCAATCCTTAAAACTGTTATATAAGAGTCATTTTTTTTTATGCACATGGTCGTCAACGCCCCTATGTGTGCATGTTGAATTCTTTTTGCATGGTCCAAGCACTCAACCATAGAATTATAGGGATTCTATTACCTGTTCAATTGTATAAAACACCTCATCTAGCTTTTAACCATCAGCGGGTGATGGGAGAAAAGTGTTACCCAACCTTCACATCGGTGAAGTAACTGTTGAACGAAAAGATGCCACCAAATAAATTCAGGAAATGATAACAAAACATTACAATTCTTGACTTGTGTATTATTTAAGGTCTGCTTGATTGGAAGATTATATTTTAGCCTTAACAATCACCTTACAATGTTATCACTATGTTTCAATTCTGTCATTCTTTCTAAAATCCAAACAACTTTTGAGTTCTTATTAAAGTTGCAAACTCTGAAAATTTGCTGCATTTGAGCTGTCGCATTGCACAGGGAGTGCAGAGTTCTTTATTCTTAAAACATCATTGCCAAGGCTCTTGTAGTAATGTGGTTTACCTGAGATAATTTATTCATCGATGTAGCAGAAACCTATGTAAGTAAAGGAAAAAGTGTGTTCCTTCAGGGACACTAAGAGTTATGTGAAGCTTTCTCATGCTGTTATTGGTAAGAAAGAATTTCAAGTCGAAGTTTACAACAGGTGTTCTACTTTACGGGCTACTATTAATCTTTATTCATTATGTTCTGATGATTGGATGCATTGCTTTTTAGTAGCTTATATTGAGCATGATTAAAACCATGAGAAATATATAACTTTAATTTGTCCGGGTTCTCATCTGATTTAACTGCCAATCATTTGCAAGAGCACAATTCCTACAAGAAACTGCATATGCACTGATTGTTGCTTAGATGCAATCATAGCTTATTGATAAACTGTTTATCTTACATAATAAAATAATCTCTTTCATGTAGTACAGTTCATCGGGGCGACCATGGGGGCTTCTGGTCTAAATATACAAACAGAAAATGGTCATATTGGCATGCCTAGTAATATATGTTGTGTTGTTGTGGAATATCTTCCGGGTGGTGCCTTAAAATCTTACCTTATCAAGAACAGAAGAAAGAAGCTAGCATTCAAAGTTGTAGTGCAGATTGCACTTGATTTGGCCAGAGGGTAAGTTGTACCTAGTTTCTTTTCTGCCTTTCTAACGCCCAGGTCTTTATCTAGGATCTGTCATTTATCTCAACCAGGTCAATCAATTGAACTTTGTAGGTTAAGTTACCTTCACACTCAGAAGATTGTGCATAGAGATGTTAAGACAGAGAATATGCTGTTGGACAAGACACGTACTGTAAAGATTGCAGACTTTGGGGTTGCACGAGTTGAGGCCTCTAATCCTAATGACATGACGGGGGAGACAGGAACCCTTGGCTATATGGCTCCTGAGGTACATATTTGAACTGGAGTAGGATTTTTACCTTTTTTACAGATAGCTTTCACTTATGTCTGTTTGCTTGTTCGCTGTCCATTAGATGATATACTCTAATCACTTCTAGCGCTTACAAACCTATTTTCCTGCTATCTCAATGTACCTGCAATGCATTAAACCTGTTGATCCACTATAAAATGAAATCTGATAGGTTAAACCTTTATGTTGAATATTTGTTACAGCGCCTTTTTGTTTTTGTCTAATCTTCCTTTATAACTCCCGGAAGAGGAATGGTAAAGATTAAGGACTATAGTCCCCAAAATCAAGTTAATTAATAAAAATGTGATCCAAGAATAACGCATTGCTGTATATGAAGTCGAGCATTTTTGATATATGTGCTTAAACTGCAGGTTCTCAATGGCAACCCGTACAACAGAAAATGCGATGTGTACAGTTTTGGCATTTGTTTGTGGGAAATATACTGCTGTGACATGCCATATCCTGATCTCAGTTTCTCAGAAGTGACTTCAGCCGTGGTTCGCCAGGTAAAGTCTCTTAGTTTAGCACTTTTTGGAGTTCCAAAAGAAACAGAACTAGTGATGTTGCCAAGCACATGATATATATAGAGAGCACAGAAAGAGAAGAACATATATATTTTTCTCTTGTAGTGACTAAGCTTGTTGTAAACTGAAGACGTTTAATATTTTTTCTTGTTTCGAGCTCCCTTTGTTTAATGTGGTTTATTCACACAGAATTTGAGGCCAGAAATACCAAGATGTTGCCCAAGTTCCCTAGCTAATGTGATGAAACGATGCTGGGACGCTAATCCTGATAAGCGACCTGAGATGGATGAGGTAGTATCCATGATAGAGGCTATTGACACATCCAAAGGAGGGGGAATGATCCCCGTTGATCAACAACAGGGCTGTTTCTGTTTCCGGAAGCATCGTGGACCTTGAACACTCGGAATCCGTGCAGATATACATATAAAGAAGTAGGTTAATTCTATCTCAACTACCAAATATTTCAGAGTCCTGAACTTATACAGTGCCTGATTCTCCTGGTGATTGTGGATATTGGCTGGCAAATTGCGCTGCATTTCTCAATTAGATGGTGTAAAGCTTATACCTTTCTTTTCATTTTCTTCATTTCACTTGTAGTTGTTTGATTTTACTTCTTTTAAATATATAATCTTCCCCAATATTTGACATTGGTGGTTTGGATTTCAAATGAACTACCATCTTCTTCTATGTATGATTTACATAAGGATAATAGTCAAAACAAATTGAGGGAATTTGCAGCTTCCTGTAACATTTCAAGTGATGCAACCAAATATTAGTCCATGTTATCTCTATTGGTTCTTTTTATACCATTCTATTGGAATGAATTGATTGTGTCCCATAGCATTCGATAATAAAGATCCACTAAACTCAGTACCTCCCTTACTAGTACACCAACTAGATTCATACTCATTACATATATGCTCACTTAACAACGATAAGGAAGGAAATTTATGGATAACGGGATATAGAAGCCAGGTGAGATGATCAACTCTTGCCATAAGAAAAAGATGTCTACAATAGGAGATCTCATGCATATATTAACTGATTTGCTTTAATGAAATAAAGTGAAAATGTAGGGTAAATACATCAGAGTATACTGTTAAAATGGTAGACTTTTTCTTTTTCTTTTTCTCTCTTTATCACACCACATATATATATACACACTTAGAAAACAGTGTGGGAGTTTCATCTCTGCAATTTTGTTTATCAGACATCTGACTTGGTGGATTTGGAAGTACTTAGTTCAACCTCTTTTTCATCCTCATCCCAATTTGTAGTGCGGTAAAATGCTGCAAAGAGGATCAGCTGCACTAATCCAGACAATGAACCCAATCCATTGGGGATCTGTTTTATTATAATCACATACACAAAAAAAAGAGACATGTTAGTGTCTTAATTTTACTCGTCACACTCTGAACCTTTTCACATAAATTAGAACAGAAAGAGTAATAAATTGCGTACCAGGATATAGGGATCAAATTTGAGGAGTGCATAGCATGCCCAAACAATGCCATTAGCAAAGTTTGCTAGTGACAAGTAAAATGGCATGTATTTTACACTCTTGGTGGTGATCACCTTCTTCTGCTCAATACAAAAGAGATTATATTAGTGCATGTGGTTGCTTAATGTTGTTATAGAAAGATCTGACTAAATTGATAAACAAACTTACCATGACGGTCAGTGGTGAGGTGTACATGATGACATTGAAGACTATAGCCACAATTCCGATAAGCATTGATCTATCCTTGGTGCCATGGAGGAATGTTAGTGTAACAAAGATGAGGATTGCCATGAAGACTGCTTCAACAATCAAAGCAATTATGATCTTTTGCTGCAGGTACGTCGTAGCAATGTGTTAAATTCTATATGTTAGAAAAAGAGTAATTTTAACTTATTATATACATAGACAGTAAGCTCGTATATATATATATATATACATACGCGCTTAGACCAATCGGAGTAGATGAAGAAGATTGAGACATAGAGCAACTCAATAGCAAGACCAAATCCATTAATGGTGATGACAAGAAGACTGTCAGGGTGAACAAATGGCATGCCATAAAACACCCAAACTGCACAATTCAGAACTGTTGCTATATAAGGATCTGGCTTGAATTCCATCACTGACTTTGCTTTCAAAATTTTCACAAATGTTGGCCTGCATGGAGAGGAAATTTCATAAATAGCGATATTTTGAGCCCTTAAATTAAAACATACGTAAGAAAAAGATTAGAGATGAACTTACCCTGGGGACAAGAAGAGGAAGAAAGATATGACATTACCGATAATTCCTACAACTGTTCTAATAGTGTCTGGATCTGCCATCTTTAATTTTTAAAAAATTTATATGATGCTAGAATTACAAATTTAAAGCTAGGAGATGGCAAGTATTATTGATTATTGAAAATTGCAATTTGCATGGAGGCTGTATTTGTTTTATTGCTTTTTTGTTTTAGACAGCCATGCATCCAAACAGCAACAATATTCACCAAATGTTTCAGCTAATTCTCCTTTTATAGGCCTTTATTGAGAGGTTAATTAATCCTGATTAATGGTTGATCCTTATTACTTGCCGCTTAACCGATATACCTCTCTTTTCGCTTATCTTCATCCACTAAATTAATTTATAACCAATTTATTTAAAAAAATAAATAAATGTTAAACTATATTATACGTGGATGATAATTCTCACCTATTTGTGATACATTTCACACTCAGACAAAAAGCAATTACACATGCATGGTAAACATAAGACCAACCTCAAGGTTTTTTCGGCTAAAAACTATGTTCATAGAGAACAGCATTACAGATTAAGAGCATCCAGATTTATCAGACTAAGGTTCATCGCGTTTGGTGAAACAAAGAGTACTACCATAATGGGAAATATATGAACCCGAACAGAAATCTGTGGTCAAATCTTGAGAAAGAGAAACAATCCTGTGAAGGTTTGGTTATTTCTTCTCCGTGTTGCTTTCCAGTTCCCTTTTCAGTTGTAGAGAGAAGTCATCATTGACATCATCATCATCCCAGTCGTCTTCCCACTGCTGGGTAGCTTCTTTCCCTTCCTTTTTCGCCTCCCACTCTGAAAGATATAGACGTCAACACCACATGTTAATGAGGAGGTAAAGCGGCAAATTAACCAGAAAATCAAAGGCAAAGTGGTCATAGAGTCTCAAACTATGTTGTTTGGACACTCCAAAAATACTATTGCACTTGTGTTGGATCCTCCACAAAAAGGCACTACTTTTGGAGGATCAGACAAGGAAGTGACATTTTTGGGGAGCCTAAGCAACATAAGTCTCAACTTAATAATAGATTTTCCAATTTATACATAATTAAATAAAAGATAAACAAGAAAAGGAGAATAATTTAGTTTTTTAGGGAACAAAATCTAAGATGATTTTTTTTGTGATGGGTGAAACAAAACCTAAGATGATTAACTGTTCTCCAAATTGAGAAGATTGTTACAAAAAATCAATACCAACGTCACTTGGAACCAAGTGCCAGAATCAGACACTATGGTTTCTATGAAGTTCTTGGGAGTTGTCATTTGGTAAGTTAGAGGAAAACCTATCTTGTGCTTGCATCACTGAAGTTCTTTTTAATAACTAAGAAATCCCTGGAGGGCAGTGGTGCACGGTAAAAACTATATGGCTAACGGGACCACCCTTTTACCCTTTCTAACATGGCACCAAGCACTGGGTTCAAAACCATGACATTTTCCTAACTCACATATCACATGTTGCACTCTTACCACTAGACCGAAGCCCTAGGGACTAGTGCTTGCATGACTGCAGATGGGGAGATCAAGCAGTTAAGATATGTATAAGAATGAGTGAACTAATAATTGCAAAATTGTCAATCTCCAAGAGTTAGGTCTTCCTGCGCATCTTGAACTGAGAGGTTTGGAAATAAACTTGCTATCTCCAAGAGACCTATTAGAAAACTAAACAAGAACAGATGACTATTATTCGTGCACCATTCATCTCCATATTAAATAACTAGGGCAATACACACAACTACTTACCCACCCCCACCCCTTGTGTTGACATAAAACCTCAGGGTTCAAACAGAACATTTCTATTTCTTAACATGTAAGTAAGGGTGTATCAGACATATGCAATATCCTAAACTAGTTAATAATGTCAAGAGAAATAAAACAAACAAATTTCCTATTAATTTGATATGACTGGGTATTGTCCCAAATTTTCCGCTGTGAGGCAGCTTGAATCAACTAAACAATGAAGCTCAGGACCAGCAGGAAAAAAATCACTTTGCAAGCAAACAAAAGGAACAAACTACCTATTCACTTATATATATTCATTCATATCAGAACTTCAGGTGAGCTAGGACACCAAAGACTACTAGTATCATACAAAACAAACTCAAAATTCTCTTCTGAAGTGACAAAGTATAACAGGTATATTGTTTATTTATTTCATCTAGCAAAAATGTCTTAATTTTTAGAATCAGCAATGCTAAAAAATCAAAGTATTGCAACCAGAGGCGCAACACGGCATTCATGCAAAACTCCTTTTGAACAGGACTTCATCACAAACAAACAGAGTTTGCACAGTTATCAACCAAAAATCGTCAATCTCAAACTAGTTAAGAGTTAATCAAATGAATTCTTTTCATCCAATCAGCTCTACTCACTATTCAAAGTATTCATCATAGTTTGACTATTTCACAGTTCGATGCCAACTTACTGAATCAATCCTTCTCAATACGGATTTGCTACCAACTATAATTTGCAAAACTCACATAGGCAGAGTTTGCACAGTTAGGATAAAGCTTATAAAAGTATAATGATTCCATCAACACTCAAAAAACACATCGATGCTAAATCTCAAGTTCCAATGCAGAGATAATCATCAAGAGAAAAATGAAAAAAAAAAAAAACTAATAATAATGAATTTCAACTCACCTTGATCAATGTCAAACTCTTCAAATTCGTCATCGTCCTCAAACAGATCCATTTTCACATCTACAGTTGCTGGTTTTGGTTGTTCCGTTGCCATTATGATTTACTAACACAGAGGACAAATTTACACTATCAACAAACAACTTTGAGATTGGAAAAAAGTATAGAAAAATCCAGATGCTAAACCCTAGCTGCTGTCAATCGAAAACAGAAATGCATATGCTTCAAGTAAAAATTGAAAATCAAAGAGAAAAAAATGAATAATCGAACTTACAGTATGTTGCGAAAATGGACGATTAATGGTTGGCTAATTTTTCTGGGCTGTGGAAGGAAACTTTATATTTAAACCCGCGAGGTTTTCTTGGGAATGGGGACAACTATTTAAACTGGCGAGCCAAGTAAATCTGACCCGAAAATGAGTGCAATTCAATTCTTTTTCTTTTGTCCTTTTTTTTTTTTTCCCTCTATGATCTCAAGTATTATATAATAGAAAATATAAATTAAATGTTCTTTCATTCGCCACACGAATGAATCCTACTTTGTATTTTTCAGTGGACAGTCATTTGTCTAAATAGAATAAACGTATAGTAACTTTCTCTCATAACATAATGAAAGCAAACAAGATAGGAAAGGTAATATATTGAGCTAGGCTTCTGTTATGCACCAATGTTTGAAGAGGATCATTAATCATTATCAAAAGAAAGAAGAGCTATTGGTCAGTTTCCTATAGTTGATCGATAGAGCTCGATCGATTGAGACATGGAATATGCGACCGATGAAGGGATCTAATTTGAAAAAAGAAGTCATTTGTAGACTTATTCCGACATTTTACCTAAAGACAAGAGATTCATAGAATGAGTTTAAAAAAGATACTCATTGCACATATATCATTTAACGAATTACCCGATTGCTGATTCACTGCAACTACAGATTCAAATACATATTACTTAATGAATTCATTACACATTTGAAATTATGAATTCCCAAATTTAAATTTGATTAGGCTCAGTTAAACATACTGTTCAAAAGGCTTCATTTCACCTTACATGACAGGTGGATTTAACACGAGGTTTAGCATTTGATTATTATTAGTGATCTGTATATTTAAATTAATTAATTTTTTCAGCACGTGTATGACAAAACATATAATATACGATCTTGTAAAGTACTTTTAATATTATTAAAATAAAATTTTATATAATTAATTATACAGATAATAATAAGGTTCAAATTTTATAAACGATCAATGTGGATCACGTAAGTTATGTCGAAGTCAAAATGACAAAGTACTAGTAATAACTGCATGATCATATAAACTTAAAAAAAAAAAAAAAAACGTAAGTTGCGTGTAATTAACTTTAAAGATTTTATGTACTTTACTATTCTAACTAAAGCTCGATGCATAAAATATCACGTGTTCACGCAGGCCACATCCCAAGGGGTTAACTATTACAACTTCATTTGGGAAAACAAAAAAAAACTACATTTTCATTCTAATCTCATTTTCTACCAAGGCATGATACCTAAAGAGGGGCAAAAATGTAGAGAGTTGCAATTAAACAATCACATTAAGAGGAGCTAATTCATGTAACATCTCCAATTTGTTTATTAAAATGCACAATGAAGGTATAAATATGAGCTAGTATAAGTTATTTGATCAACAAAACCTTATAACGTCTACGTTTTTTCGAAATATTTTACTAGGACCTACCATACAGTTTAACCTACCATCCCCAGGAAAAAAGGATATAGCTCCAAAATCACAATCTCTACACTTTGTGGAGCAAGGAAAGGAAGTTAAATCTATGGCTAGCTGATGCCATGAACCTTAAAGAGCAACATATGCTGCAATGGAACGGCGAAAATTGACTAGTTCAGCTCCTCTACAAAATGTTGCTGGACTTGACTTCAATCAATTATAGCCTTGAGATTTTTTCTATGTCACTAGTCACTATGCTTTTCATTTAGTCATAAGGGCATAAGATCTTGGGGATCTCTTGAGTTCATGGACTGAATGCATAGCCAATGAGGGAGGAAAAAATATATTGCCATAAACACAAGAACTCCAAGATCAGCCTCTTCACCAACTGCTGGCCGACGAGGTTGAACCAAGTATATTTGGGTTGCACACCATAAGCAGTATACGGAAGCAATTACCAACATCAGCTTGACAGAGTTGATAACTCGTAGTTTGAGCAGTTTGAGCGGCTTCACTCTGCAAGAGAATTACGAGCAAAAATAAGACATGTTAACGACAGAGCAAGCGAGTGAAATAAAAACAAAATCTCATTGAATAATCCATCAGCAAACACCTGTTGATGTAAATAAAGTCCGCGATCAAGCAGCTACATAAAATGCAAACCACAACAACAGCATCTGGATTGATTGGTGCTCGACCTTCCCACCAACCTGTGCTCAATATCCAAGTGTACATAGTAGATTTCCCATTTTCCTGTTTCAAGAGGTATAACTTATAAGGAATTAAACAAAAGGGATTTGCTGATTTCAGGTAGGAGACAGAGAGAGAGAGAGTTTGTACTAAAAGCAAAGAAAAGATGCACTTTGTTGTTAGGGAAGTTTTGAACTGCATTTATGACTGACAGAGATAAAAGCATTTGATATATGGTCTCCAAACTAGTCTTAGAGACATCAATAAACAGGTGATTTGGAGATCAATATGACCTTTCTTAGAGAGCTTTAAGAAATAAGGATTAAGCCATATGAACTATAAATTGGAAGTAGGTGAGTTCACTAGTTAAAATAAGTGACTTATAGTTCACTAGTTAAATAACAATCTACGCTTCCAAATAGTAATAAAGTTTCCTCCTTTGTCTACAATGGTACAACAACGTCTAATTGCCACCTTCCTCGAGGATTAACATACTGCCTTGACGGGACACACTATTATAGTTTTTCCCTTTCATCTCACCAGTCACAAATAATTATAAGATGATTAGAGGCACAGATTTATATATACATTAATATATTCAGAAAAATCTTTTCTCTTACAAGACAAGGATGAGTCTTCGAAAAATAATAGAATTTTTTTTAATGCGTACTGTATAATTGTGTTAGTTTCCTTCTTGCGGGAGGACAGGGAAGCAACCACTTCATGGTCCCTGTTTACCTCATCCTCCCCCGTTCTATGCCTGAAAGTTTACAGATGTGACTCATTCATATTTCCCCTCCCGTAATACATAACCAAAGTAATTAACTTGTACAAGCTACTTTAAAAACTATATTTTTGATAAGGAAAGATACTTGTATAACTTGAAACTATCTTTGCTACAGCAAAATTCTCTTCAGAGACCCAAAATACTCTTTTATTTCTTAATCACACAACAATATTTATACAATGTGGACTTACAAAGCCTTTCCTCGAGCAACAATACCAGTTCGAGAACCACATTCAAGTCAGTAAAAAGAATAAAGACATACTATCAGCATTTGTAAACATATCATACAATTCTAGAGGGAAACAAAATTTCTCTTTTATGGAACTAGTAAGACCTTGATGACTCCGCATTAAATGAGGACCAGTGCAAAACTTTTTGCAGGCACATTCACAACGCTACTTGTGCTAAACCTTATATGCAGTTCTACACTACGCTGCCATTTTCTCAGAAATTTCACCAAGATTTCATAAAAAGGCCAGAGCAAAATATAGCTCACAAGAAACATGACCATATATGATCAGACATTACCTCAAACAAATGGTCCAAGAAAAAATGTGACAAAGAGCCAGCAGCCGCCAGGAAAAGACACTGTTTTCTCGTAAGCGGCACCTGTTTGCATAGAAAATCACAATCAGCTACGAAAGGGAACAGCAAAAAAGAACGAAACAGAGTTAGCCATGTCCTCCTAAAAATAGTAGTTTTTCTCAAAGGGGATACACCAATACAATCAAAATTCACAATTCAATCAATTCCCTCACACAAAATTGAACCAAATAAAACAAACATATAGAGAAGCTGAGAGATTAGGGGGCTAACCCCAGAAACGGAACACAATCAGCAACGAAAGGGGAACGACAAAAATGAACAAAACAGAGTTAGCCATGTCCTCCTAAAAACAGTAGCTTTTCTCCAAGGGGATACACCAATAGCAATCAAAATTCACAACTCAATCAATTTCCACAGAGGAAATTGTTAGTAAAACAAACATATAGAGAAGCTGAGAGATTAGGGGCTGACCCCAGAAACGGAATCAAGCCTAAACACGCAATTCAGCTACGAAATGAACGAAACAGAATTACCCATGTCCTAAAAACAGTAGTTTTCCGAAACACAATCAAAATTCATAATTCCATCAATTCCCACACACAAAATTCTACCAAGAAAAGATAAGGGGGCTAACCCCAGAAATGGAATCGAGCAATCCCTTCTTCAGGAGAAATTTGGAGACAGAGCTGTAAAGCATGGACATGGGGATACCAAGAATAAGTATATAATAAAAGGGGTCATGGATCCAGGGCTCAATTGCATAACCCAAAGCACTTCCTAACCCAAGGGTTGATGTTAGCCACTCAGAGAAAGATCCAATGTCCGGTCCAAAGAAAGCGTTAATGGAATAGGTAAGGCAGTGATGAGGACTAAACCGGCCATTAGATACACTCATCAATCCTAATCCTGAACCCAATGTGTACAGCATGTGCGGTCCCGGCCCTGGCATTTCTGTTTGTTTTTTTGTGAATTCCGCTGCAGTGCCTGTGCATATACAGTGAACAGCAATTTCTGCAAAGCAAACAAAAACAATCTTGAATTTTGATCGTTTGTTGAAAGGGGAAGAAGAACCGGCCAGGCGATGGTAAGCTGTAGAGTTTCATATATATTACCTACGGTATCGGAGAGTTACATATACCTATTAATTTACAGATGAAATTTTGATCTTTGCCCATGTTTTTCGGCCTTAAGTCCAAGGCTTGGTACTCCCTCCGTTTTATTTTACTTGGCCTATATTAATTAAAGTAATTTACACAAAGATTCAAGTCCACTGCAACGCTTTAGCTTTTTATCCTATAGTTACATTGAAATCGACTAAATTCAAATTCATTTGAATTGATTAGGAATAGCTTTTTATCCTATAATTATATTGAAATCCGACTAAATTCGAATTCATTTAAGTTGATTAGGAATTGAAGTGAAAGGCTTTCAAGTTTTTTTTGGTTTCCCATCCGGTGTCCGGTACCCACATTGGAGCCCGACTAAATCCGGATTCGCGCCGGGAAGTCCCGAAGTCCCACATTGGGGGGTTAGGAATTGAAGTGAAAGGCTTTCAAGTTTTTTTTTTGGTTTCCCATCCGGTGTCCGGTACCCACATTGAAACCCGACTAAATTCGGATTTGCGCTGGGAAGTCCCACAACATTGGGGGGGTTAGGAATTGAAGTGAAAAGGCTTTCACTTTTTTTTTTTGGTTTCCCATCCGGTCCGGTACCCACATTGGAGCCCGACTAAATTCATATTCGCACCGGAAAGTCCCACATTAAGGGGTTAGGAATTGAAGTGAAAGGCTTTCAAGTTTTTTTTTGGTTTCCCATCCGGTGTTCGGTATCCACATTGGAGCCCGACTAAATCCGGATTCGCGCCAAGAAGTCCCATTGGGGGTAAAACGCTCCCTAACAAATGTGACTCCGTACCCAAGGGGAATCGAACCTGAGACTTCTTGATTAAGGATGAAGGAAGGAGTACTTACCAATCCACCACAACCCTTGTTGGTAAAGGCTTTCAAGTTACACTAACAGTGTTATTAAGGTGTGACTTTTAAGTTACAATTTCATGATTAGCATATGAAAGTGCTAATCTTAGGGTTAGTTAAGTCCATACAAAATTAGATATCTTTAAAATGGAATGTATTCTATAAAGATTCAATAATATTCAAATTAATCAAGCTTAGATAGAAATATCAAACATCAAATATCACTCAAGCGTCCCATCTATCTACTCAAAGGGCCCTTTAAAAACTTACATTACATTATTTCCCACCAAATATACTCATCATCCAAACTTCTATTATTAAGCTCTACCAGTTTTTCTTTTTCTCCGTCTTCTCTAATCACCAGCGAATGCATTAACCGATATTTCAATGGCCGGTTCTGAATTTCCTCACGCATATGCAGAAACGCCAAGCATCAATAATTCCGATACGCTATTTCAAAGACGTCGTCGTTGTTTCTGCTTCCCATCTTTCCGTTCTCCAAATCAATTAACAAAATATGTTAAGTTGGACTGGTGGCATAGGTTACGTAGCGGTGCGGTTACGGAGGGATCTGTATGGGCGAAAGGAATCAACGCTTTGAAGAAGCTTCGAGAATGGTCGGAGATCGTTGCCGGACCGAGATGGAAGACTTTCATCCGGCGGTTCCATCGGAACAAAAGCGGTAATAGGAATGCGAAATTCCAATATGATCCTTTGAGTTACTCACTGAACTTCGATGAAGGACGGGGGAATAACGGAGAGGAGGAGGAGGAATTGGTGCTTCGGAATTTCTCGACGAGATACGCATCGATTCCGGCGTCTAGTAACTTCGGCAAAGATGGGCCCAGTTTCGTTTGAGTGCCAGAGTCGCAAACAGAACTACTATTTGATAGTGATTGGATATCTGGCCTTTCCGAGATAAAGATGAAATATTTCATGATTAAATTTGATTGATAAATTTATATCGTCAATCGATAAATTAGTCTCAGCATATAATTTTGAGACAATTTAATCCGCGGGGACCCCTTACAGTTCAGTAGTGGGGCTAAGAAAGCACAGCTCATCATAAAAGATAAGTAGGTGCGTGCAAGTTTTCTACTTTTTGTTGGTACAAAAAAAATTATTGTGGTTGGTGTTTGTTGTCTAATGTCTTTTTCCTTGTTTAATTTAATTTTCTTCTGTTGTCTGTATTTTGTTTTTGTCTTTATAAGCACTGTACATAGAATATCCATTTATCCATTTTTTGTGTGATGATTGCTGAGTTGATACTAGGTGTTATTTGAATTTTAAAAAAAACAATATTGAGTATAAATTGTGTGTTGAAATTAATTCTGATCAATTTTAGCTACACAGAGGTAATAAAGTTATTTGTTGGGTACTTTTAAAGTAGCGTCAGGGGCCACCATTGAAGAAATCAGTGGAAATTGACTCATTGATAAAGCAAACATAAACTATTTTTGATGATCCAAATCAAATCCAATGACAATGAAGACACTACGAACAATATATGCTTTTTTGCGTTATAAAACATAACTCTTAGGCATTGGTTAAGTTGCTAGATCGATATCGAGCCCTTATCCCCAAATTTTGTTAAGGGAAACTGGGTTCTTAGATCCATCCTACAGACCAATTTCTCTCCACACAACCAGAAGGAAGATCATTTGTTTGAAGTAACATCTCAACAAACGAATACAAATCAGAAAGGCCTATAACATGATTCATTGAGGCCTTGTGTTCGCTGCATTTTACAGAACAAAATCAAACACTTATCAGATATATGAAAACTAACGTGACAAGTTAAGCTTATTTGTATTCCTAAAGAACTTTGGCATTGAATGAACTCATGTATCTCACTACCCTGCATTGATGAAGAACCTACTATACCCCAAAAGATATAACAGCCACAAGGAGACAGGAAATTTGAAGATGAATTTTAGCCACAAAGCTGATATGTTCTCAAATATTCTTGTTATTTTATAATAGACTAGAGTTGAAAGGAGAAGAGGGGAATTCAATCAAATTAAGTAGATGCAACAAACCATAATCAACAAATAAGCAAGCATCCAAAAGAGTGCAACAATTTGGTCATTTCTTAATTTAGGGCACCTCGTGAAAATGACCAGCATGTGAACAGCCAACTACACGTCCACAAAGAGATGCCAAAATTGGCCAATTCTGGTGAATTAGCTGGAGCAGGAAAAAGAAAAGTTAAAAAAAACAGTTTAGTCATGAGCATCTGAGACTTACTTGTGGAGAACTAAAGCAGATATACCAAATACTAGGGATGCATGCGGCTGTTTATGTATTAGATTACTCAACCTCCCCTAAGGCCTTGGTTCAATAATACTCTAGTTGGAGCAAGAGAGAGGAGGTGAGTCTCTAACCCGTTGGCTGACTGAGGTTAGGTTAGCTAACTCGCAGGGAATTTCTCGGTTACCAAAGACAATATTAAAGATTTACTCATTCACAATCCCCACTCCAGTAATCAGCAGCCAACACGGGGGGAAGAAACCACCACAGTATGTAAATTGCAATAAACCTATGCTCCAAATTCTACACCTTTTGGTTCCTCAACATAACCAAAGTATTCTTTTTCTAGCTCTCAATAATCATTTTGTACACAAATAATGGCTAGAAGGTAAAACACACTTCTCACCACACCATTGATAATATAACCTTGAGGTAGTCTTTTATCTGTGAATCGGACTAAAGCTAAAGTTAGGAACCGAGTGAATTTAAGGTACAATGCAGCTGTATTAAATAAAAGCATGGCAGATGGGCACTTTAGAACCAAAATTTGGTGTCAACCTCTTTATATTTATGTAATTGCCAAAAAAGAGGAGAGAACAGCCAAGAAAGTTGGGAGAAAGAAATATCATTAGCAACAAAGAACATAGAAGGCATTTCATTTTACTCTGTCCAGAAATCCAACCTCCACTGGCAATATCTTGGTCAAGGATAAGACAACTTATCCGCAGTTGCCGGGTGTTGCAGCTTTCAAGCCTTCCAACAGTTAAAATATTTACAGAGGGAAGACTCGTCTGTGTCCACCCAGACAATACGGCTGACAAAAGTGCTCACAAACCGATTGAAATCCTCCTTCCTTTCATACATTGAAAGAAATGGTGGTTGGAGACTCAACACATCATTGGTCACATCACACAACCACAAGAGCATACTAGAAGCTGACACTTTTGAGGAGCCCACCATAGTCCATCCTTTGATAACTGCAAGAAGCAATGAAAAAGGAAAGAGTCATACCAAATATGCAGCAAATATACTTCATCATGCTTAAATTCAAAATATGGTACTAAAAATTATGCACAAGCTCTTAACACTTCAAAGCATTACTCTCCACAGAATGAAACTACTCATTCCTCTGTTTTAAGGATGACACATATCCTAATGGCATATTAAGATCACATTCTCAGGAAGGAGAAACAGCCCAAGTGTTACTTGATAATAGGAGAAAGATCCCAAATATATATATCCAAAATTTTGAATTATCTTCATTTTCTCCCAATCAATGAAAACTACAAGAATTAAAAGATTGTGTTGTCAAACACCTTCATAGATCTTGCAAGTGTACAATGCCGGCAGAAGGGACGCGAGTTCGAAAAAGAGCAATAACTACATGGCAAAAGGAATGTACACAAACAAACAAGCAGCTCAACCACAGCAGGTCACATGCAATTTTGACAAAGTATTTCCAAGCACATGCCTAGAATCTAATCACTTTCCAGTGCTTATACAACATAATAGACAAAGATGGTTAACAGTCTAAATCATAAAGAAGACCATCATAACCACAAGTAAATGAATCTCATATCACCTTGAAGATCGCCAAGTTGCAGTTTTTTTGCATTCCTACTGCCACGGTGATTGCTTGAACCTGTAGCTCTCACTGTCCCATCCTCCCTCAGGTTCCTTCCTCTTCAGTAGACTCCCAGCTACAGGATACATCCTCCCATGCTCGTCCAGTTGCCTTGATACCAACGAAACTGACTCTTCTTTCCCTTCCAAGTCCACAGCTCCAGGACCTGCATTCAAATCCAGACCTTGCCGGCTCCGTTTTCTGTTGTGGTCTGTGGCTCCATTGCTGTTAGCATCGGGAAGGGAAACCACATAAGGCCTTGGGTATTGAGGTGCCACAGCACCTAGCAACTGTGAATTCATAGGTGGAGTGAAAAGTCTTCCACCCGAGGATGAATCAATATAAGAGGTTGATCCAACAGCATATGTTCCAGAGGGAAGTGGGAAAGTGGTTCCAAAAGGGAACACAGGATACTGGAATGGGGCAGCAGGGAATGGCATAGCAGGTGATGATGACAATACCGAACCCCTAAAAACATCTGGAGTAAAGGGGGAACCAGCAGCAGATGGACCTAACATTCGTGGGGCACCAGGTTGGATTATTGGAAATGGTGGCTGCTCCCCACGATCAGGCAACATTGATGGAATTGTCATAGTTGAGTAACTATTCCCTGGAGCAAACCAAGACGATAAGTTTCCCATTTCTGGATTGTTCATTCTCAGGCTAGAAGCATTTAGTTGGGAACGCATGTTTCCCTGATGACTCTGGTGGAATAGAGGCGGTTCTGCACTTGAATCATCAACTCCAGGCCCATTATTCAAATCAAAGTCCCTCCTCACTTCTGTAGTTGGCAAGATGCTGGATGAAGATGCTCTTGTGGGAAAAACAGCACCCTCTAATCTATGACTGCTACTCAAGGAGCATTGGCCTACATCATTAGGTTCATCAACTCTATTCAAATCAAGATCAAGTCCTCCAAAACTACGAAGAGCAGGAGAACCTGAACATCTATTTTTTGATGAAACAAGGTTAGTTATATGGTCCACCGCAGATCCTATTGCTAAAGCACAATCCTGAGAATTTACGTCCTCAAAAACTCTTTCATCAGCTACATTCAAATCAATATCTAATGGAGGACGACCATGCTTGCTGGTAGAAGCTTCAGTAACAGAGATGATCATGGAACTTGAATGCATATCAGGGGGTTTTCTTGGCTCAGCCGGACGAAATGCACTTGTGGCTGCTGATCCTTTCCACCCAAACTCCCCTTTGACTCTCAATAGATCTTCTGGCGGGACAAAAGGACCTTTGGCAGCAGCAGCCACCGTAATGGAAGCAGGAAGGCTACTGGAAACAGAAGAGACAGCAAACGTTGATGGGCTCATTATTTGGACGTTTGACAAACACCCAGGGCCTGTCGAGTTGATTGGCTCCCCATATTTCCCTTCATCAGAAATAAAACCTTCATTTAAGTCAAACTTCATCTTTGAAGCTGAATCTGGGGCAGCAGCAGCAGAGCTTGAAGAAGTTTCCCCTTTGATGGATACGCATTCCTTTGGTCTATCGGCCTCTACACCAGAGTATTTAGATTCTCTTGATTCCACATTTTCCACTTCTGCATTACAAAATCCAGGTGTCTCTTTCTTAGTAAGTAATCCACTGTCAGAATCATGCGTAGTCATCTCTTCAGCATTAGGTTCATCCTTTATCAAATTCCTTCTAGCTACATTAGATTCAGATGCGGCTTTATCCTCAATAACTGAAGTATCAACAGTTTTTTTATCAGAATTTGGCTGTTCTGACTGAAAAACATTCTTTGCATCCATTTCATCAGAATGTCCACCTTTCCCTGCAATAGAATCTCGACTAGAACCAGTTTGTTGCAGCTCTTCCTTGTCACCCCTCTCTGTAGATTCAGATTTTGACACAACCGAAGGCGGTTTCACCTCTGTACTAGCAACACCTAACACCCTACTCACGTCATTTTTGTTGTCGCCCTCATATTTAAAAGCAGAAACTCCAACTGGTCGTTTCAAGTCTTCTATGCTTACAAGGCCATT